CTTCCTTCTAATATATCCTCGTAGTGGCGAAGAGAAAATTGATTTAATCGGTGGACACGGGATCGTTTTATTAATGCGACAACATCCTCGTTAATTAGAAATCAATTAACCCACCTGTCGATTATTCGAATACCTATTAATTAAACTCTTGATCATCTGCATGCATAATAACCGTGCCATTATTGGCATGATTATCGGCGTATCATCGAATTGATAAATCATATTCATCCTTTCACTATTGGAAGATGTTAATTAACGTCGAGATTGGCCAATCGTCTTCTGCGTTCTGTATGATTTTTTTTTCTTCGCCTTCTCTTGTATTTTTCTTTTTCTTAATTCGCTCGTCTCTTAACGAGTCTTGATACGTTAATTTAAAATACATATAAATACACTCATTGATAAATATTAAGAAACAAATCAATCATTTGCAATTAATTATCAATTTTTTATATTTTTTTTAAGATCAATAAATTGGAACTAACTGGAATGTGTTTAAGAAAACTTGCAAAAGATTAATTTGTATTTTATTAACTTTTGCCAATAAGTATATTTGTTATTCAGGAGATAATTACATTTGCCTCGTTGATTGTTTTAAATTAACATTGCAACTAATAATCACTTGGTAATTATGTTTTAATAACATTCAGAGCTGGGTATTATTAAATTTAGATCAAGGTGTAGATTGAATGTTGCATTGATTAATCTGTTTGACTAACGTATTTAAATTATAATTACTAATCTCTAATTTATCACGAACTGTAATTAATGTTGAGATTATTATTGAGGGATTGCCAAAAGGATAATTATCAAAATCATTTAATCTATCATTCATAAACTCCATTAAAGATCTCGTACACATATTTGTCCATATTTTATCATAACGATTGAACTAACTTATATTATCATTATAATACACATCTGCACCATATCTCAGAATAATCCTCAAATCACTAGTAACAATAATAACTACACACGTATAATAAATCTACATTTCACACTCAACTTCCAACATCAATCGCATTATATCATCGTTACTCAATCATCATCATCACCCCTAATTAATCGCCTACAATTTATTATTATTCCCTTGTACTGCATTATTATCCATCCTTCTCTCCTCTGAATCGATCTAAATCAAAATAACACCCGATTATATATTTATATCTCGCTATAATAATTTCATCGTCAGCTTTATTCCAAATACTTACATCTATACCGAAACAAAAATGAAAACCTTGTCGACGACAAAGAAATTTTCGTCCGCTATTTGGACTTAAGATCAAACGTAAAGTGGCAATCCAAACCCGCCATTCACACTTGTTTCGCCGTTTAGCCGCGATACTACAGAAGAAGGATGTTGATGTGCCCCGGAAGATCACCCCAGCCGATACCGTCCACCGCTTACGGGGTGAGTTTTACGCGATTTCTTTGGCGGAGCAATTTTCGTGGATGGATGGAAGGGGAGGGGAGGGGAGGAGCACGTGTCCTAATTCGATTTTCAGTGGCAGATACCGAGCGGATGTTACCTCAGATACACGAGGATCTTCTCGGGGGCGTATGCTGTTCAGAACTATCGAGGGCAGAGGCAGAATGGTTATCAGGAGGCGAGGGCGGCTTATCATCAAGTTCATCCTGTTCACGGGGGCCAAGGTCAAACTCAACTACACTCCAC